TAATACATGCTAATCGCTTGGAATATTATGCCACATTTCTTAGTGCTGCGTTTGTTGTCGAACATGATTTCGCAGTATGACTTACAAAGACGAACCGCACAACTGCGATTACTTTAGCCTGGAAAAAGGATTTGGTGGTATTTATTGTTAATGTTTATACAGGAAAAGAATGGAATAAAGCGATTCATAATGGCCTGACTTTGCCTCTCGTCCTGACATGGTACTGTCACGCGAGTCAAAACTCAAAGATGGCGGCTGAAATCTTTCCGCGAATGACGTCATATATTAAAAATTCAAGATGGCGCCCAGACTTATTAAAAGCGTGTATACAGGTAACTTACTCATCGATGCTCATAACATGACATGTACACATCTTTCAGGTTTCCCTAATTTTTCCAAATTCAAACAAAACGTCATTATGCTTCCATAGACCAACGCATCCCACGGAAACGACTTTAGGCGTCTTATTTAGCTTAAGCACAGTTTATAATAAGGAAAGAACTATTGATGCAAAAGTGGCAGAAAGTGCTGTAGCAACTCCATAAATATGGAACATGATAAACCCAGATAATAAATAATGGTAATTGAACGAGCGCGGTTTGGGAATAAATCACACTGCTGAGAGTTAATCAGATTGCACGGATCGCTACAGCCTAGTGATTTCAAAGTGGATGTAATAAATAATGGTAATTGAACTGAGTGGAGTGCAATTGGGTCTGAAATAATACGAGTGTCTTCAAAATCGGATGAGCGCCCAGTGCAAGTTCGATTTGAAATCACAAGTATGATTTCAGACCAAAATTGCACGACACGAAGTTCAATTACCCACAGCTATTTTGAAATCGCAGAATTCAGGCAGTACCAATATTTTACTGACCAAGTAGCCAGTTTGTTGAAAAGCGGAAACAAAAAGGCTTTTACATCTCGTTTTGTATTCGAAACAGAAATGATGCGACAAAGAGCAAAAATAGTGCGATTTAAAACAGAAATGATGCGATTTAGAACATGAATGACGCGATTTAGAACAGATGATTTGCGAATTCATCACATTGCTGAAGCCAATCAGATTGCAGGGATCACCAGTGATTTCAAAATGGATATAATAAAATCGATCAATATCGATGATATAGATTGATTTCCGATGTCAATTTTTATCGATTGACTTCGTCTAGTTGTATTCCTTCCCAATCCATTTCCTTATTTCGGGTTATTTGCTTCGAACTCCCGATAACTCGCACTTTTTTCGATTTCCATGGAAGGTTCAAGTCATCGGGAGTCAACTGAATTTCAAATGCACAAATCCTTAAGAAGGAGAGTGCTCTAGATGTGGGTTTTGAAAGTTGACCCAATTTTCAAACTTACGATAATTGTCAAAAGTATTTTTTTTTACCCCGGTCCAAACCATCTCTCCCGGTGACATTTAAAATTTTGCAAAAATAACAACTCCAAACAAAAACCTACCGTAGAAAGGAAGTAGATCATACTGTCAAGGGAGAAACCTCTGAAGAACTGTGGTAATGTTAAGTGCAGTTTCTCTTGTCGTCTGTTTGGATAAATTGCCCACTAAACAGCCGTTGAAGAGGGTCGGAAACGGGGTGTGTCGTGCACGGTTCATTGAAATTAAAACAGACTTTTCACGAATCACGCAAAATTCAGCGTTTGATTTTATTTGTTGCCCACATAGTATTACAAAACTGAGGTGTGGACTATTTTGAATTATGCATACGCAAGAAATAAATGTTTTCACGCTCTAAAATACTAAATTTACAATAATTCACAACGGCATGCCGTACTCTACACGAGCAGAACTGGTAACACTTTATTATTTGCAATTTGCACATACGCACTACACTAAATGATTGCAAATAATGAAGTGTTACCAGTTCTGCTTGTGTAGAGTACGGCATGCCGTTGTGAATTATTGTAAATTTAGTATTTTAGAGTACTTTCATGGTCTATTAGAGCAGCTGAAAACTAATTTTCAAACAAATTTTCGCTTCAAAAGGGTTCTTGGTTTTGTAATAGAGTACGCTTGAATTTCTCAGCTTTTGCGTGACGTAGCGTTTACATGACGGCCGAGAGAGCTGTCATTTAGGTTAAAAAAGTGAATTTTTTCGAGGAATTTTGCTATCTAAACTGCTAGCAGACGTCATCATCTTTGTCTATGAAGTACCATGCATATTTTAGCGTTATATTAATGTTGACCAAGTAAGTTTAATTACTCTCAAAAAGTTATTACAGAGTGCGATGGAATTATTACAAATTGCGGCAGCTTAGTGTATTACAAAGTGCGATGGACAGTTGTTACAAATTGCGACAGCTTTTTTATTACAAAGTGCGACACGGTTTATTACAAATTGTGACAGGTATTACAAAGTGCGATGGATTTATTACAAATTGCGACAGGTATTACAAAGTGCGATGATTATTACAAATTGCGACAGTAGCGGGTAGGAGAGAACCCTGGGAACGAGGTTGGGATAAACAAGTTCGGTGAGTGGCTTGACTCTGCTTGACTCCCGGGGGGGTTGGGTACTGCCATATATGGGCTATATAGCCGCTGTGAAGGGTATGGTTTTCAAGCAGTTTACTCTAGGATAGGGTATAAAAATCAGTAAAAATCAGTATCATTTTCAGGAAACTGTTCAGTTCGTTGAAGATTTTATCTATGCTAGGGATTATGGTATAAGGTTTTGTTTTGGCTAGACTGTGCTAGTGACCTCAGTAGTTTCTGGAAAACAGCTACTCTAGGATAGGGGGGATTTGGGGAGTTTACTCTAGTATAGGGTAGCAAATTCAGCTGAACTAGCTGATCTAGGTTAAAGGTTCCAGGGTCCCAGCGGCACATCCCCACCCAGAAATTCCTAAAGTTTATTTATTATTCCAAGCATGCGCTGTCCAGCTAACCCAATTTTCCAAGTCCCGATAGTTTCCCGACCGGTCACGCTTTTAAATAATTAAATCAAACCGTTGCCAGAATATGTAAAAATGCCATGCCTAAATCGCGGCCAAATAACCCACGCTTGTTATCAATATTAGATTACATATTTTTCAACCTATTTTAGGTGGTACATCGAGGAAAGCAATCATACTTTGGGTTAGAACGGCATTATTCTGACCAAAATTGTGTTTTTTTAGAGGTCTTTCTTAGAGTGCTCAGCGGATGTCGGCGTTATCCGATATCACATAGTGCAAATATCGCAATTAGACTATACAATACACTATTCACTACTCACTCCCTGAGGCCTACATGTTCCACCACGTGTCTTACAAATGCCTGCAAGGAGCCGTGCTTTCGTGGTAAACAAGAGAGGATAAAGGGGATAGAGAAGGCATCCCGCATACACACCCTATCCCATAGGTAATTCGTCTCGAGTTATTTTTAACACCACAAATCTCAAGGGGGATTAGACAACAGCCAATCACATAGCGCGAATTTGTTGCGCGTGGATGACCCACGCTCAGAGCCACCCGCCCTTCACGAATTGACGCAGAACAAAATGGCGAAAGACGGGGAGAGCGATATTGCTATTGGTCTTGTCGACGAACACGACTATAGAGAGATTTCTGCTAAAGCTGCGTCAGCGAAACGGAAATTAAAAAAGAATCGCCCTTCCTCTCATGTATAGAGCTAACAGTAAAACAGGGAAATCCTTAACACACTGAATATTCTCTCAGGATCATTTATAATTTACAGTTTGAAGAGAGTAATTTCTGGTTTGATATATATTCATTTATTAGCCTTTTATTATTCAACAAAAATAACATTTGGCGTTCTACTTGCTTTGTTGTACAAACGACCGGTTTCAATAGACCGGCGAAATTTCTCATTTTATTAAAGCAGTGAGGTTACGACAACTTCGAGTTAAACTGATTTCATGGGTTGTTAAAGAGTCCAGCGATTCGCTTTTTCCAGGTGAGCGCCGACTCATTTCGCTTGAATGTTCAGGAATGCTCTCGATCTCTTTTTACGCTTTCATTACCTTTCGCTCGACATGTTTTGCCCGGCGTTTAGTCATGCGAAACCGCCACAAAACATCCACGCAGCGCGCGAGGTAACTTTATACCGATTCTAAAAATAACTCGAGACGAATTACCTATGGAATAGGGTGTGTATGGGGGATGCCTTCTCTGTCCCCTTTATCCTCTCTTGCTGGCAAAGGAATAGGTACACGCTCTTTGATGCCAACGAACGCATTCATTGCATTTGAAGATGTTGTTGGATCCACATAATAGACAACACATTCCAAAACTTGGAAAAAGCTTCCCTCACAGTCCATGCTTAAATTTTCGCTCGCCATATTTCATATGATATCAAATGCACGTCATGAAGGAGTAGTTATTCGTGCGAGTCATTTGATCATGTGACGTCTAGACATGTTTAGGATGAGCGTGGCATTTTGTGCATCTTTGATGACAGACAAGACCTTTTTTTTTTTTTTTTAACATGTTTATTGATAATCACATTAAATAATTACATTTACAAAACAAAAAAAAAACACTTTAACAAGAGACATTAACAGAGTAAAGCCAAAAAAAATTGTCAAATTATTACAGGAGGTGTCACAGGGCTAAAAGAAATTATAAAAAAAAGTACAACGGGGTAATGAAATAATACGGAGTTAATACAGTTAACTTAAATAAGGCGTCAGTATCCACTTTCTTTTAAAGAATTCTTTGTTGCTGATTTTTTCTTCTGTTTCATATTTAGCGATGATCTTGGCTCTAAATCCATAAATGTTTGGAGGGATTTGTTTGCTCCTGCAGTCCCACAAATAGAGTTTTCCAATAATTATAAAATAGTTCAGCAATTGAAGTAAAGGGCAAGCAGTTTCCGTCAAAATTCCAAAGAGCACATTTTCCAAGCAGAGACGAATTCGTTGATTCGAAATAAGGCACCAATATAGTTCAAATTCAATCCAAAACTGTTTAGAGCGTGAGCAGTGATAGAACAAATGCGTTAATGATTCAGGTTGATTGTCACAGAAAGTACATAAATCATTTGTTCTAAAACCTATTTTATACAACTTTGTATTTGTGTAAAGAATTGAGTTAATTACTTTGTACTGGAAGGCTTTAACATACGATTCAACAACGATATAGTGTGGCAGCTTAAATATTTGCTTCAGATTGTAGCTGTTAAAATGAAAGTTACTCTGTAATTTTTGAATAATATTGGGCGGTTTAGCTTTTTCTCTGATGAGTAGGTTGTAGTAATCCTTTGATTTCCCTTTCGTAACATCAAAATTATTGTCACCCACCACAAATGTTGGTGAGTTTATGGAAGGATACCTGTCATAACTTCTTAACGATAATGGAATGGTCCTGCGTAAGCCAGCCCATTCTAAAATATTTGTTTTGCATATTTTTTTAGACAGTTGATTATAAGAATCAGTACTGTTCAGACTAAATAAAAGATCCTGAATGCAAATGACTCTCGCATTAACATAATGTTTATAATAAACCGGCTTGTTTTCTACTTTTATTTCTTTGTTATTCCAGATTATCGTTTTCCAATCTTCTTCAGTGGCAAACGTTTCACGAAATTGCGACCACCATAACAAAAGTTCCTGATAAAATTGAGAAGGAATTGTGTAATCCAAGATATTGTAGTTGCAGTTAAAAAAGAACAATCCCACAACGGAGCTCAGTATGTGTTGTAGGTAGCTTTTCCAAGTTCCATTAGTCCCACTGAAGATATGTTTTAACCAAGCTAATCTCAATGACTTAACCATGCACTCGAGATCAACCATTCTTAGCCCTCCCTCTTCGTAAATGTACTTAGGGATAAGAAAAGATTTGATTATTGTCACCTTACCGTATATCGACAGGCCTCTAGCGGACCATATATTAATAAGTTTTTTCATTGAATCCAGTCGTTCTATAAAATTCTTTTCTTTAAGCAATTTGGTCATAAGTAAAATATACACCTAGAGCTTTTGTTGGCTCGTCCGGCCATTTAATACCGAATGGTTTTTCTTTATAATGTCTCTTAGATCCAATCCACATACCTTCAGTTTTTGAACAGTTAATCTTGAGTCCAGAGAGAATTTCGAATTTGTTAAGTAGTTCAAATAATCTTGCGGCCGAGCTTGTGTCAGCTAACACAGCGGTTGTATCGTCTGCAAACTGTAGAAGCTTAGTTTCCTCAGTTCCTATTGTGATTCCTTTAATTGACTCTTTTTGCCTTATAGCAATTGCTAAAGTTTCTACAGCAATTATACATAAGTAAGGAGAGAGTGGATCACCCTGCCTAACACTGCGTTCCAGAGTAAGAAAGTTAGAACTAACGCCATTGTTTATAACACAGCTTTGAATGCTGTTATAAAAGGTTTTCACCCATTGAAGGAAATCTCGACCAAAGTTAAACTTTTTAAGACTCTCAATGAGGAATTCCCATTCCACACTATCAAAAGCTTTTTGAAAATCTATAAACAGCAGTAAACCTGGGATGTTTTCCTTAGCTGCGAAGTCCATAATATCGAAAATAGAACGTATTGCTTCACCAATGAAACGATCTTTAACATAACCAGTCTGGTTGTAGTGAATGATACTGGGTAACACCTTTTTAACCCTTGCTGCGATCATCTTGGACATAATTTTCATATCTACATTAACAAGAGATATTGGCCGCCAGTTTTCGAGGAGAGTGCGATCTTTTCCGCTTTTCTCAAGCAGAGTAATTACAGCCTGTTTTTGTGAGCATGACATTTCCCCTTTTTCGAAGCATTCATTTGCACACCTGATAAAACTTTCGCTTATTAAAGGCCAAAATTTTCTATAGAATTCAGCTGGAATGCCATCATTTCCAGGGGATTTATTCCTCTGAAAGCTATCCAAGAGTTCAGAACATTCTTCTGGAGAAATTAATCCTTCACAGGACTTTGTTTCCTCCTCTGAAAGTTGGGAAATATTCAGATCGTTCAAAAATGAAGATATTTTCCCTCCTATATTAGGACTATTAATGCTGCTTTTGTACAATTCGCTGTAAAAACGCTCTTGTTCTTTTAGTATACAGTGCGGATCTGTTGTTATTTTACCATTTATGCACAGTTTTCTTATATGCTTCTTAACGTGGTTCCTTTTTTCTAAGTTTAAAAAATATTTTGTGCTCTTCTCTCCATGTTCATGCCATCTAGCACGTGCTCGTATTATTACGCGTTTGGTTTTTTCTTCGTAAAACGACTCCAACTTCTCCTGAACTACGTTATAATAGGTTTTGTTATGGTCGTTTGGATTATTTTCAAGTTTACTTTTTGCTTTAGTTAATTCCTCCTGAAGGTCAAGTTCCTTTTTCCCCCTTTCTTTTGCCTTTCTTTTAGAGTATTGAATAGCATGAGCTCTTATGTTATATTTAATCCAATCCCATATCATTCGATTATCTGTAAATTCTTTCTGTCCTTCCGCTATCCAGAGTGGAATCATCCTGGCTATATCTTCTTCGTAGTCTTCATCATCTAACAGAGAGCAGTTCATTTTCCAGTTTCCTGGCCCTTTCAATTCGTCCTCTAGCTTTCCGAGTTCTAAAGAAATTGCATCATGATCTGTTCGTACAGCCGGGATTATTTCGGTCAATTCAACAAAATCGCTCAGGTTGTTACATATCAACCAGTAATCGAGACGACAAAACACTGGGGGAGATTTTTGACTCCACGTAAAACTTTTTGCGTCTGGATTTTTGGATCTCCAGATATCCACTAAATCTAATTTACTTTTGAAATCTTCGACACAAGAGATAACTGACTTCCTTTTTGTTCTTGCTCCACCTTTTTTGTCGAGTAATGGATCGAGTGGACAATTTAGATCTCCTCCTAGTATGATGTTATCCAAAGAATCCAGATTTTCATTTTGCAAAATTGAAAGTAGGTTGTTGAAAAAATTCACTTGGTCTTTGTCTTTGTTCGGCGCATAAACATTAATCAGCACATAGTCTTTATCTTGGATGCAAGCTTTTAAAATAATGTATCGCCCCTCGGGGTCTACAATTTTATGATTAATGCTGCAATCAATACCATTTTTAAACAAAATCGCAGCACCTCGCGAATTAGCACTACCGTGGGAAGATATCATCTCAGCACCCCATTCATTTCTCCATTGATTCTCTGTTGCAGCGATCGAGTGCGTCTCTTGTAAAAAAACAAGGTCTGCTTTACGTTTACGACACCAGAGAAAGATGGTTCTTCTTTTGCGGAAATTACTTAAGCCCTTCACATTAAGCGATATTAGTTTAAAAGCACTGAACAACTAATGTCACTGTATGCAAATTGTGGGACTGCATAGCTGAAAACAAAAGAGCCGAACGTGTAATTGAACAAACGAAGGCGTGAATGTAGACATACTTTGAAAGCAAGTAAAGGATACTGATTGTGCATAGATAAAATTAATAAATAACCACAGTAAGCGAAAATTAGAATAGAAAAACACTCGAAAAAATCTCAAATACAACACTAACAGATAAGAAAAAGAAAATAATACAGGGACACACGTTAACCACCAAAACACTAGCCGAAACATACTCCCTTGAGATACTCAAATGAAGTATTTTAAGAAGGTACTGACCTTTCGACAATTTTAAATATTGTGTTTTTCAGAATCTAATTAGCTTCAATCTGACTTAAAGAAGTTGTTGTTGTATTGCACCAGTAGTACTGTAAATTAGTTGAACAGATCTTTGTTCGTTCTTTGATATTTGTTACATCATACTTTAGTTCTCCTATGTACAGATACTATCAACCACTTTGGCCTCTGAACCTTGCTCCTTTGCCTTGAACATCGCCTTTATTAGCTTCCTAGACTAGACCTTGATATATCAAGTTCCTCGAAAGTTTACGTTGACTATTTCACGAAAAATTAGCTAATTATAGGCCATGTTCACAAATCTCGAGAAATAAATAAGTTATTTCACGAATCACGGGTTTACTTTTGTTTACGGATCACGAGAAATAAATTCTTTCGTTCACGATTCACGGCAATTAAAAATCGGTCCGTGTAAGACGCAGACCGCGGACTGCGGACTGCAGACTGCGGACGAGGGGTAAAAGAAGACTGTGTGTAAAATGCAGACTGCAGACTAAGAGTAATGCGGTAAAATGCCGACCGAGCATAAACTGTAGTCGTGGAAGGGTTTAAGGGCAAAAAAATCCCGCAAATGCATGAAAACGAACACTTACTTGATGACATCTGCTTTCACAAATTCATTCAGGACTGGAACGTCGTCGACGACCCAAAAACATAATCGCAGTCTTGAACCTTTTTTCCTTCCGAGAGACCTCACGCTTCAACTTAGTGAAGTTTTCGATATACGTGACCAGGGACAGTGAATGGGTACAAAACTACATGAACCACGATGTTTTACGCTTAAAGAAAAGCTGCTGACCCAAAATACTGTACAGGAAGAATTATGGCGATAAAAAAGGGAGTAAATTATTCCAACAACAAAGAAAGATGTTCTGCAGGAAATTTGGATGACCTTCTATGAAAGTATTGCAAATCAAGGTACGCAGACTTACGCTGTTCAGGTGTTCATTGAAACTTGCGAATGTGTAATGTACTTCGACCAGGAAGCGAAGTGTGTAACTGATACCGGCTAGCTATTTCACCGATTTGGAGAAGAAGGAGCACAAATGTTTAAAAAAAACCTACAGTCTTCATTCTGCTTTTTGTACCTAGCCTGCATTTTACACTCAGTATGCATTTTACCCCTGGTCCGCAGTCTGCAGTCTGCAGTCTGCGTTTTACACTGATCGAATCAAAAATAGGCGTTCACGGTTCACTGAAAACCCCATTTCAGACCCTCTTTGAAATATTGTAGTAATTATCATATGGAGGCTCCGATGAAGTTAAATGGCGTTGTATATGATCTTCGCGTTCCATGCAAGTTGCAGAAAGCCTCTGTGCCTTGAGCAACGCAACAAAAAAAGCAAGCTCGATCAGAGCCATTGCTGCTTGGGAGCCCGGGTCTGTGCAACGGGAATGTTTCGTTCCATTGGGCACGTGGAATTTCCGAATACAGTAAAAACCCACGAGTAAGAACCTACATTTCCAGGGTTAGCCTAAACAGGTTCTTACATAAATGATACTTAACATAAATTTAGGCTATCTAGGTTCTTAATAAGTTCTTAATTTCTTGCAAAAAATTATGTTGCGGCTAAGAAGATTTTAGTGATCAACACCCTTAAGTTTGCATACCTAATGATTGCTTATATTTTAATATGACCATAATAGAGATCTATTCTCACATGAATTTTAATTTCTTGAGTCAAAACAACTTTATATTCATGATTGTGCTGTGAAACACAATATCATAAACATTTTGTTTCTCAATGACCTCAATCAAACAACACTTATATAAGAACCTTTCTCCAAATTTTAGGCTAAAGAGGTTCTTATATAGAGGGGGTCTAAATTGCAAATTTTAGCCTAACAGGTTCTTAAATCTTAGGTTCTTGCTCGTGGGTTTTTACTGTATTTCAAACGGGAATGTTTTTTGAAACTCATTCCAGGATGGCGGCTGGGGGCCAGAAGAATGAGTGCGACTTTTATAAGGCCCTCTCCACCATCAGAGGGAAAGATGGTAAAACGAAAGGAATTGCGTGTGCAGTTGACGTTGATGGAAAGAAAAGCAAGGACGAAGTTGTTTTAGTAACTTGGAAGGGCTGCATTGGCGAAGGTCAAAATTCAGTAAAAACAGTGCACCGCCATCGGCGTAAATCAATATTTACGAAGAATGCATATGGAAAACATTATAGACTGGAACCTTCAAACGACGGTATCTCAGAGAGAGGAAATTTTTCTTTAATCCGGTGTGCTTTTGGGAATAACAAAAAAGGCAATGACAAGTGGGGTGTGCGTCTCTCTCGTCGGTGTTTGAACGAAGAAAGGCAAAAGACTGCAAAACTCAAGGCCTATTCGATACATGGTGGTAGTTTCTACACCCTGACATTAACTTACGATAAAATTACTAATAAACACAATCTTGGCATTAACAAAGATCAATATGCGGATCTCATGTTACAAGGAGCGCCAATCATTGAAGACGAAGAGTATTTTGTGGGAGTTTTAAAGGATGAAGGAGGTACCTGCAGTCCTCTTTTCATAAAAGAAGGAGAACTTGGTGAGTGGTATTAAATAAGAAATTGATGATGATAGTACATATTTGGGCTAACGCATTCCTTTGCTTCTGATTGAACAGCTTAAAAAACTCCAGCAGGGTTCTACACAACAGATAACGGGAATTTAGACACTTCTGGGTTATATGTTCCTGAAATCAGATGATGCATTGGTTCAAGCCTTTCGTTCTTGGTTTTCTTCTGTTTTCTTACTTCTTTTATTTGCTACTTATTAAGTATCTTGAAACTTAAAGTTTCAAGATTCTTCAAGTACTTTAAATAAAGATGAAAACCTGATTTGAGGGTATCCATTCTAGTCAAAGCATTTTGTCTTTTAAAAGTCGTTAAAGACTGGGTACATGTAGGAGTGTGTATTAAGTGGGTAGGGAGGGAAAGGGGCATTTTAGTTCTAACTAGAAGCATAATAATACCTCCACCGAGCTTAAATATTTTTGAGCATGATACCTTGCAGCCCATCTGATAGGGTGCAATAAAAAAATCAGAAATTGTGCGATATTTTCAGGGTAGATTGTGCGATAAGATAGGACTATTATGCGATAAATCATGCGATTCTATCAGGGCTAATTAACATTGTTTTACCAGGTTTAAAAGGAGAAAAATCACTTTAGTGTTGTTTAGCAGGCAATTTGAATGTAAAAGAATAATAAAACATCTATTTTAAAACAAAAATAGTTAAATTTGACCAATTATCTTGACCTAGAAAAGAAAAAAATAGAAAGAAAGAAAAAGGTCACTTGTGTAATATTACATGCCACTGTTAGACCGCTGACCACACTGCTTGTCTCTGAAATCGGCAAGTAATTCATGGCAGTCTCCATATAGACTCCCTGACATGTTATCTCTTATACCTTGTATACCACTATTTATTAAAAACTGAATCATTGGATAATGCAATTCTAGCATTTTGATTGGCTTAGCCGTTATGGTATATGAGCTATTATACCATGCTCCCCATATATGGTCGGTGTACGCGTCAGTTTAAAATTGGAAGCTAGCTGAGATTTTTTTTCGCGAAGGATAGAACGGCGCCGGAAGCAAATCGTTTTAATTCATTTCTTAGAATACTAGAAATGCAATTTCATCGAAAGAAAAAAGACAAAAACAAACAAAAAAGTCACAAGAGCTTGTTCGAAAGTTTGTCGAAAAACACATGAAAACACATGGAACTAAAGTACCTTGACCAGCTACGAAAGAAGACAAGTGTTGTTTCTTCATGATCGCGAAGCCATTCGCCGACCGAGTCACTCGATAACTGCGGCTTGTTTATCCGACATCAAGAATATAAATCACAAGTAACCAGCTACAAATACAGGCTATGCAGCCATTCACTAGAACAATCGAGGCGGCAGTATAGCTTCTTTTCTCGTTCAGCAAAACCAGCTTGTGGCTTCAAACAACTTCATAACAAGCGACCGAGGTAATAGTTTTTCTCCGTTGTTCTTACTTTTATAACTGCTCCGAAAATCCAAATTCACAGTAATTTCGACGGTTGTCACGCAAAAATTCTTTTCCTTCACATTATCTGCCAGGTTTTTTTAGCTGTTCTGCTGTGTAAAATCCTAGAATCCCGATGAGTTTTTAAAAAACTAATGTTCATTACTACAATGTTTTGATTTTTCATTCATGCGGTCCAGGCGAGTCCGTTCGCGCGTTGACAGTTTTGATAGACGTGTGACATGTGAATAGCGGAAGTCCCTTGTCTTTTCCGGTTTGTTCTAGTCGGGGAGATTCAACGAGATTTTGTGGGCATTTTTAATAAAACAATTATTCCACTCGCGCTTGTTGGATATGAGATGGTTATAGCCAACTCGGCGCTACGCGCCTCGTTGGCTATCTAACATCTCATATGCAACGCGCCCTCGTGGAATAATTGTTAAATATCTTATGTTTACCCTAGTAATACTGTATACCCTGCATACCCCTATATATCCTGTGTACCCCTGTTTACCCTAGTACTACTGTATACCTTGTATACCCCTATTTATTAAAAACTGAATCATTGGATAATGCAATTCTAGCATTTTGATTGGCTTAGCCGTTATGGTATATGAGCTAATATACCATGTTCTCCATATATGGTCGGTGTACGCGTCAGTTTAAAATTGGAAGCTAGCTGAGATTTTTTTTCGCGAAGGATAGAACGGCGCCGGAAGCAAATCGTTTTAATTCATTTCTTAGAATACTAGAAATGCAATTTCAACGAAAGAAAAACGACAAAAACAAACAAAAAAGCCACAAGAGCTTGTTTGAAAGTTTGTCGAAAAACACATGAAAACACATGGAACTAAAGTACCTTGACCAGCTACGAAAGAAGACAAGTGTTGTTTCTTCATGATCGCGAAGCCATTCGCCGATCGAGTCACTCGCCGATAGAGAACTGCAGCTTGTTTATCCGACATCAAGAATATAAATCACAAGTAACCAGCTACAAATACAGGCTATGCTGCCATTCACTAGAGCAATCGAGGCGGCAGTATAGCTTCTTTTCTCGTTCAGCAAAACCAGCTTGTGGCTTCAAACAACTTCATAACAAGCGACCGAGGTAATACCGGTAGTTTTTCTCCGTTGTTCTTACTTTTATAACTGCACCGAAAATCCAAATATATAGTAATTTCGACGGCTGTCACTTAAAAGTTCCTTTCCTTCACATTATCTGCCAGGTTTTTTAAGCTGTTCTGCTGTGTAAAATCCTAGAATCACGATGAGTTTTTAAAAAACTAATGTTCATCGCACAATGTTTTGATTTTTCATTCATGCAGTCTAGGCGAGCCGGTTCGCGCGTTGACAGTTTTGATAGACGTGTGACATGTCAATAGCGGAAGTCCCTTGTCTTTTCCGGTTTGTTCTAGTCGGGGCGATTCAACGAGATTTTGTGGGCGTTTTTAATAAAACAATTATTCCACTCGGGCTTGTTGGATATGAAATGATTATAGCCAACTCGGCGCTATGCGCCTCGTTGGCTATCTATCATCTCATATCCAACGCGCCCTCGTGGAATAATTGTTAAATACCCATGTTTACCCTAGTAATACTGTATACCTTGTATACCCCTATATATCCTGTGTACCCATGCTTACCCTAGTAATACTGTGTACCTTGTATACCCTTGTGTATCCTGTTTACCCATGTTTACCTTAATACTGTATACACTGTATACCACTATATATCCTGTGTACCCATGTTTACCCTAGTAATACTGTATACCTTGTATACCCATATACCCTAGTAATACTGTGTACCTTGTATACCCTTGTGTATCCTGTTTACCCATGTTCACCCTAGTAATACTGTATACCCCTATATATCCTGTGTACCCATGTTTACCCTAGTAATACTGTATATAATACTGTAAAACTGTAAACTCCTGAAGACCCGTAGTTACTAAAACAAGGAATGACCTACAATGACCTACCTACAATGATCTACAATGACCAACAATGATCTACAATGACATACAATGAGCTGCTACGAGCTAAAATGAGTTAAAATAAGCCCTACAATGAGCTACAAAATGACAGACAGTGATGTTTGTCGTGTGTCACGCTTGGACGTGACACTAGGCTCATGGTATTAAATTGCCAAGGACATTTTGAAAAGGCAAAACAAAAATAAAGCCTGATCTCAGGTCACTTGAGAAACTTGAAAATAAATTACTGCAATCGCGTTTTTACCGGTAACACTATTATACCCTGTATTGACGGAAGTCATCCAGGCACTCCCTTAGTTGGCCTAGATGGGTGCCGCTGAGCAGGATATGGATTTTACTATTTAGCGTTACAAACAGAGCATCTTGTTGGACCGGAAGCCGCTTAAAGGGTTTTATGATGTCTTTTACAGGGCAGGGTACTTAAATAAACAATTTTTCTCTTAAACAGGGTCAGAATTTGAAGGCCTCGTTTGTTCATCTATACCCAAACGTCCCTTGAAATCCCCTCGGATCGACTGTTGGGGTGACTGTGTTTGTTTAAGGCAATAAAGGGGGGTGGTAGGCCTACACGACTTTTACCTCATGCCAAAATGCTGCTTATTCCAATGAAGTTGTTTTTCTCTGCTGGGTAGATTATGCTCTGGAAGGTTCTACATTTCCCTGAGCAAATGTGATGTTAGCCGCATGTTTCACACCGAGAGGTCGTGACACACATATCGATTTACTGGCGTAGTTATTGTTTCTGGTCGGCAGGATTTGCCCTCTGATGCAAGCGCATTTTCTTTGACCTCTTTTGAAGCGTAAAGCCTTTTTATTACGGCTGAATAAGGGTTCCAATTTTCTCCAAAGTGCCTTCTGGATCTGAACAACTAAGCGATTTTCTTTAGTCCGTGAGTGTAATGTTTTTCTGCAATGCTGTATCACGTTGGGCCCAGCTCGTTAGTTTTCTTTGCAGAATGTTAAATTATCACGGATAGTGATTTACAGATCCAAAATTATAAGAATGAAGTGCAGCTTAAACTGAAGTTACATCAACTTACTATGGAGACTTGAATTGAGACTCAGTAAATTCCAGCTTAGTGTTTTTCTAAAGATAGTGTGCGTCTTTTGACTGGAACGCGTACCTCCCCTGGTAATAGCTTTGAATAAGCTTAACAGTCTTAAAACTGTTTTGTTATTGCCACTTTACGCGTTACGTTTATGCACACATGTCCCCTGATCTTTTTTTTTTTTGTCTTTTTCAAAAATCTTCATTTTAACTTATTACAGGGATCTTAAGCGTATTTTCAGGTCCCCTCGTTCGGTCATTGTAGGTCATTGTAGGTCATTCCTTGTTTTGGTAACTACGGCTATTCGAGGCGATTTTGATCAAGTATCTGCAATACCTATATTAACAAGACGCTGTGCGCTGTGGGAGCGTATGTTTGGCCGTCGATGTAGCAGACGTATGATAAGTTTTTTGTGTGTATTAGGGATCTGTGAGTAGTGCAATTGCGTTATATATTGTAGGGGTGTGTTGGTTGTGTGAAGTGGAAGGCGTGGAGTTATATTGGACGTGGATTGATAAGATA